CGATAATAATATAGAAGCACAATGGCAGAGAATTGCCCACACCCTACAAACTGCAGCAAAAGCAACACTTGGGTACCAAAGACCACCTGCGGACAGTAGCAACACGTAATGCGATGGAGAACTATCGGGAGAAAAGAAGAGAGGAGAAATGTATTTTCAGAAAAATTAAGAATGAACAAGAAAAACGTGACCGTGAGCAAATCGAGATGTACAAGAGCCAGAATAAAGTCCGAACCGAAGGCTTTGGTGCAGACATATCCTCCTGAAGAGATAAAGAAGGAAACCTGGTGACAGATGCAGACAGCGTGCTGAGGATCTGGAAGGAGCATTTTGAAAGAGAGGATACCCCAGCGAAGAGGATACCCCATAACCAATAATAAATGACGGTATAGAGTGTATACCACCTAGCCAAGATGAAGTCACAATAGCAAACAATCGGCTGAAGAATAATAAAACCGTAGGTGCCGATAGGTTACCATCCGAACTATTCAAGACTGGTGGTCAGATGTTGGTCAGGAGCATGCACCAACTGACTAGTACAATTTGGCCAGTGGAATGCATGCCCAATGATTGGAACCTCAGCATCCTGTGTCCCGTGCACAAAAAAAGGAGACAAGACGATATGTGCCAACTATAGAGGAATAAGTCTCCTTCCCATCGCATATAAAGTGCTATCCAGCGTGCTGTGCGAACGACTGGAGCCAATGGCCAATAACATTATTGGGCCATACCAATGTGGCTTCAGACCTGGCAAATCCACCATTGACCAGATTTTCACTCTGCGCCAAATCCTGGAAAAAACACGAAAAACAAATCGACACATTCCACCTATTCGTCGAATATAAAGCCCTATCATTTCAGAGATGTATAAAGCCATGTCTGCGTTTGGCATTCCTGCAAAATTAATTCGGCTATGCAGGATAACTCTAACTGGCACAAGATCAGCAGTTAAAGTCGTAAAGGACCTCTCGGAGCCCTTTAATGCCGAACGAGGATTCAGACAAGGTAAAAGTTTGTCGGGGGACCTTTTTACCATCCTGCTGGAAAAGGTCATGCAACACATGTTACTCGCCTACACCACATGTTACTCGCCTACACCGATGACATCGACATAATGGGTCGAACATTGAGAGCGGTAACAGCCACCTTTGAACAAATTGAGAAGCAGTCTGCCAACGTGGGTCTGGCAGTAAGCGGCGAATAGGCCAAACTGATGGTATCAACGCGTAAGACGTCCAGTAGGCTCGGACCAAGTGTGGAACTTGAGAATTACAGCTTCGAGGTAGTCAACGATTTTATATACCTTGGTACCACCATAAATATAACGAATGACACCAGTTTTGAAATTCGGAGAAGGATAGGGATGGCCAACCGATGCTACTGTGGTCTGAGCAAACAACTCAAAAGCAAGACCACCTCCCGCCAGAACACACTCACACTCTACAAGACGCTGATACTATCCGTGCTGTTATATGGATCTGAAGCATGGGTACTTGCGCAAGCAAATGAGACAGCTCTTAGGGTGTTAGAGAGAAAAGTTATCCGAAAGATCTATGGGCCGATGTGCGTTGACGGATGTACCAGCTATTCTCGGACATTGACATTGTTAGACGTATTGAGCTGCAGCGACTACGTTGGCTAGGTCATGTTGTGAGAATGGATGAAGATGCCCCATCCAAGAAGGCATATAAAAGCGAACCAGCCGATGGTTCACGCAGAAGGCGAAGGCCACGAATACGATGGAAAGATCAAGTCGAAGACAACATTACCGAAAATGGTCTTTCAAATTGGAAAAACTGCGCAAAAGACCGATGCGCCTGGAAATCTTTTCTAAGCTCAGATTATGGAATGAAAGTTGTGTCACAAGTTATAAAAAAACCACTTTTTTTAACTACGCCTTCGATTGACATTAAAAAATATTTTTGAAAAATCTACGCCTGAAATTAATTATTATTGAAAAAAATATTGGAATTTTTTTTTTTAACCTGAAAAATATTTCCGATAAATCTATGCTTTGAAAAATGTTTCTTAAAAAAAATCAAGATTTAAATGCCCCACAAAAAATATTCTATAGAATTCCTCTTTGCTATCTGGAGAAGTTCCTACAATTCCCCCAAAAAAATAAATTTCGAATACCATAACGAATTTAAAAATATTTTCAACAACATTTAAATAACAAAACTCACTTTTTTAAGAATTATTTATTGCGACACTGAGACGTCATAAAACTACATAATATTTGTGAACACAAAAAAATATGGAAATTAAATTTAAATAACAAAAGCTTATTTTATGATTATGGAGAAAAAGGCCAATATAAATCAACATTATTATTTTTATGCAAAAGTGGCAGCGGCTATTAGCAATGCTTTATTAATGCGACGATTGCTATGAAATGCAATACCGAGAGAGAGAGACTTCATTGGCATAATGTTTTTAACGGGTGCTAAATATTCCGCAAACGTTCAGCAAACTGTGGTGGCTACTGATCAAGAAAAAAATCTGAAAAAATAATAATATAAAATAATGCAATACAAAATAATGGGTGTGAAACAAAAAGAAAAAACAGAGTATTTAAGCCAACGAAAAACGAAAAACAAAAGACTTAAGACACAAACATTTTATGCGCCCATTATAATGATCAACACCACACTTTGCTGTTTAAGGTTTCTTTCCATTATTATCCTCCGTGTGGCTTTTATTTGGGAGTTTTGTTGGAGTTATTGTTGCAGTCGTTGTTGTTGTTGTCAGTTTAAGGCAAAATTTTATTTTTTATTGGAAAAAATCTGCCATTGTTTGTGAGTTTTATGTGAGGCCCAGCTTTTGTGTGTGGCATAATAAAATTAATATCGAATTTTTAACTTTTGTAGTACAAAACTGTTTTGTTTGACACCCCACCAAATGTGGCAGCCATACAATATTGTTGAAGTGTTGATGAATCACATAATTATAACAAATTATGTTGTGAAATGTACAGCAAAACAAAAGAAATATCTAACAGCTGTGAAGTTTTTTTTATATGGGACCAAACTAATTCGTCAAAGAATAAAGTGGGATATAGAGTGCGTTTTTCAAAAAATATCAAAAAAATTAAACAAAAAAAGCAGCAGTTTTCCATCTCAAACATTTTTGAAAAATAATTTTTTTTTTTGAAATGCCATCCCAGATGTAGATTTCTAAAAATATAGTTTTAAGACCCAACCAAGGTATGGATTTTTGAAAAATATTTTGTTAAGACCCAACCAAGGTGTGTATTTAAAACAAACAAGTGAAAAGGCTTTAAGTTCGGCCGTACTTAAGTACTGACAAGTACTTGTAATGAAAATATAGGGAAAATACCAAAAAGTGGATTCATACCGACATTTCTGCAAACCGATTATGTAAACCATGATTTTTTTTTTAAATTTTAATGGATAATTATACCCTCAGCCTTACGGCTAATGAGGGTGTATACACTATGACATGGTGAAAAAAATGAGCCTCATCGAAATATTGATTCTAGACCCCATGTTTCTTTGGACTAAATTTGTTTCAGAAAATTTTGATTTCATCCAAACTTTGCCCATTTTATTATTTCTTCCAAACTTAGTTCAAGTTCGAAGATGGGGAATATCGGTCCACTCCATCTGGTACTTCCCACAGAGGGGCTACGCCTAAATGTGGGTTATTTTTCATATATAGTTCATTATCGAACCTTACGTTCTAGTTTTTTATCTCGATATCCCCCGCAGGTGAAATGATTGCAACAGAGTCTTTGGACGCGGAACAAATCAGTTAACTATTTTAATATAAAAAGGGGGTTATATGGGGACTACCCCAAAAAGGGGGCGAATATTAATAATTTTTGGTAGGGAAATTTGTTACTACATACTACTACAAAATACCAAATTGTAACGCATTCGGTAGAAAAACGCGCTCAAAAACCCCAAAATATCGAAAATTGAAGGTATATCCAAAAAAAATTGGCCTATATATTCATAATTTTTTCAATATTTTGAGGGTTTTGGTCGTATTTTTCCACCGAATTGGCTGTAATTTAGTATTTTGAATTCTTAATAGGCACCAACTATTAAGAATTCAAAATACTAAATTACAGCCAATTCGGTGGAAAAATACGACCAAAACCTTCAAAATATTGAAAATGGAGAGGTACCGTTATATGGGGGCTACCAGAAAAAGTGGACCAATATTCATAATTTTTTGTGGAGACATTTAGTACCTAATAGGATTCCCATGAACAATTCGGATGAAAAACGCGTTCAATAACCGCAAAATATTGAAAATACGGGGTACCGTTATATAGGAGCTAGGCCTAAACGTGGACCCATCTTCGAACTTGACCTGCCTGCAGACATAAGACAAACCTATGCAAAATTTCAGCACCCTATCTCAATTCCTTTAGAAGGTAGCGTGATTACAGTAGACGGGCCGACATGGCTAGCTTTAAGACACACCAAGGCGTGGATCTTCAGAAAAATATTTTTGAAGACACGCAACGGAGTGGATATTTAGAAAAATATTTTTAAAGAAAAAAAATATTTTTTAAGACACAACCAAGGCGTATATTTTTATAAAATATGTAAGACCCAACCAAGGCAAAAATTTTAAAAAATATTTTTTTTTAAATATTTTTTTAAGACCCAACCAAGACTTGGAATTTTAAAGAAATGTTTTTAAGTCTCAACCAAAGTTTGGAATTTTAAAGAAATATTTTTTAAGACCCAACAAAGGAATTTTAAAGAAATATTTGTTTTTAAATCTATGACTTGACCAGCCTTTGAAATAATATTTTTTTAATCTACGGCCTGGCTTAGATTAAAAATGCTTATATATAAAAATAGGTATCCAAATAGACGACCTCCTGGGACTTCTCTAGACCCTGGATCCTTTAAGGAGTTCCTCTAGGAAATAGTCCTAGATATTTCATGACCTCATATCAATATTAATAATTCTAGTTCCAACATGTGCTACACATCATGTTGTGTTCGAACATGTTTGTAAATTGCGTTTGGTACTTACTTGTCAATGTATTCAATGGTATCGATTTCTTTTTGCAATTTATCTTCGTTGATCTTTTCCTCATCGAAGGTGCCATCTGAAAAAGAGAAAAAAATAAGAAATAAATTTAACAAAATAGAATTGAATCATTAAAAATCATAATTTTTATAAAATATGTCCCCTTCACATTTTTTATATTGCAGATAAAAAATTATTTCCGCATTAAAAGGCATAAAATTCAATAAATACTTCATTTTTTCCATCCCAAAAAATAATCTCATTTTTCAAGCTATTTAGGTTTATATATTTTTATGATTGCATTTTTATAATGCTAAATGCAGCTTTTATTTCTACGCTTTGTCTTCTCAACTCCGTTTTTTTTTTCTTTCCTTGCAACAATTCTCACGCATTCATCTGCTTTTGTTACGCTTGAGTTAATGGGAAAGTTCAGAGGCTCATTGTTTGCCAATCTGAAAACTGAAACGAAATCGCGAAAGAGAAGAAGACCTTAACTAGCAAATTTTTTAAAGCAGTAGTTAAACTAACCGCCATTGCAAACAAAACTAAATGAGCTACAAGTTTATGATAATGACATGGCATGGCATGCCGTGGCATAAACATGAATTACAAAGTTTTTTTTTCTGAACTTTAAGTAAAAGGGAAAACATTAAAGAGGACGATCGTCAGCCTCTAATTGTAATCAGGGGGAAATAGAGGCCGTTTCGGAATAGGGTTTGGGGGGTCTTTAAAATGTGACAGATAACAAAATGCACTAACAAAGTACTTGAATGTCATTGCAGATATATTGCAAGTGGAATTATTTAATGTACGAGAAAATGAAAGTTGAGGTTTGAAGTGATAGGTCCTGAATAAGAAGTTATGATAAAAATTGGTATTAAAAAAAAATAAAAATCGGCATACAAATATTAAAAAAATTAAATAATTAAAAACCAGTGAGCGGAGCAGTATAGTCGGACGGGGCCGACCATACGATACCCTACACAACTACTACGGAACTCAAATTTTCTGCGGATGTTTATTCCGAGCCTGGGCAATATTTCGTGATATTTGCACCCTCTTGCCCGATTAGAGGTAAACAGCACCTCTTCCTCACACTGACATTTCTTCAAAAAAAATCCACGCCTATTAGTCTTAAGAAATTTCTTTATAAAATCCACGCCTATTGGTCTTAAGAAATTTCTTTATAAAATCCACGCCTATTGGTCTTAAGAAATTTCTTTATAAAATCCACGCCTATTGGTCTTAAGAAATTTCTTTATAAAATCCACGCCTATTGGTCTTAAGAAATTTCTTTATAAAATCCACGCCTATTGGTCTTAAGAAATTTCTTTATAAAATCCACGCCTATTGGTCTTAAGAAATTTCTTTATAAAATCCACGCCTATTGGTCTTAAGAAATTTCTTTATAAAAAACGTAACACACATCATTCTAGACCTAATCCATTTCGCTATGCCAAATTTCGGGCAAATCAAAAGATATATAGGGACTTTGGTACACCATTTTCCTTAAATCGGACGAAAATATATATGGGAGCTATATCTAAACCTAAACCGATTTTCAGAAAACTTAACACACATCATTCTAGACCTAATTAATTACACTACGCCAAATTTAGTGCAAATCGAATGATATATAGGGACTTTGGTACACCATTTACCTTAAATCGGACGAAGATGTATATGGGGCTATATCTAAATCTGAACCAATTTTCAGAAAACTTAACACACATCATTCTAGACCTAATCCATTTCGCTATTCCAAATTTAGTGCAAATCGAATGATATATAGTGACTTTGGTACACCATTTACCTTAAATCGGACGAAAATATATATGGGAGCTATATCTAAATCTGAACCGATTTTTACGAAACTTAACACACATCATTCTGGACCTAATTCAGTATCCTATGCCAAATTTCGTGCAAATCGAAAGATATATAGGACTTTGGTGCACCATTTACCTTACATCGGACAAAAATATATATGGGAGGTATATCTAAATCTGGACCGATTTCCACGAAACTTGGCAGATATCACTCTAGACCTAATTCAGTAATCTGTGCAAAATTTTTTCTCAATCTGACTAATATTGGCAGTATGGTGCTCCATTTATATAAAATCGGACGAATCTATATATGGAAGCTATATCTAAATCTGAACCGATTCCAACAAAATTTTGCATACATAAACATGGACCTGATTTAGTGCGCTGTACAAAAGTTTGTCTCAATCGTACCAATATTGGCAGTATGGTGCTCCATTTACATAAAATCGGACCGATTTTATTGAATATCAATAGGGTTCGTCCTTGGGCCAAATAGACGAGCTGTGCCAAATTTCATCCAAATCGGATCATAAATGCCTCCTGTACTTTGTTTACAATTTAACATCTATAGACGGACGGACCGACATGCATAAATTGACTCAGAAAGTGATTCTATGCATATTCTCAAAAGGAACCATGTGTCTATCAAAGACATAATACCCTGTACCAGGGACGTACGTAGGGGGGCGAAATGAAATCCTGTGTACGTTGCTGCCCTGTATCACAGTGTGTTCCTCGAAGCTATGAGGAACATTGAAAAAATATTCTTTTAAACCAGTAAGGAAAGTAGTAAAGTCGGACGGGGCCGACTATATGATACCCTTCACCACTATGGGTATATTAAACAGGACTATTACAGGACTATTCGTGCAAATCGAAAGATATATAGAGACTTGGGTGAACCATATACATGAAATCGGACGAAACTATATATGGGAGCTATATAGAAATCTGGACCGGTTTTCTCGAAACTTGGCAGACATTCATTCTAGACTCAATTCAGTACGTTATGCCAAATTTCTTGAAAATAGAAAGATATTTAGCGACTTTGGTGCACCATTTACATGAAATCGGACGAAACTATATATGGGAGCTATATCTAAATCTGGACCGATTTTCACGAAAAAAGGCAGACATCGCTCTAGGCTCAATTGAGTACGTTATGCCAAATTTCGTGCAAATCGAAAGATATATTGCGACTTTGGTGCATCATTTACATGAAATCGGACGAAACTATATATGGGAGCTATATCTAAATCTGGACCGATTTGCTCGAAATTTGGCAGACATCTTTCTAGGCTCAATTCAGTACGTTATGCCAAATTTCGTGCAAATCGAAAGATATATAGGGACTTTGGTGCACCATTTACATGAAATCGGACGAAACTATATATGGGAGCTATATCTAAATCTTGACCGATTTTCACGAAACTTGGCAGACATCATTGTAGACTCAATTCAGTACGTTATGCCAAATTTCGTGCAAATCGAAAGATATATGGGGACTTTGGCGCACCATTTACCTTAAAGCGGACGAAACTATATATGGGAGCTATATCTAAATCAGGACCGAGTTTCACGAAACTTGGCAGACATCATTCTAGGCTCAATTCAGTACGTTGTGCCAAATTTCGTGCAAATCGAAAGATATATAGGGACTTTGGGGGCACCATTTACATGAAATTGGACGAAACTATATATGGGAGCTATATAAATCCGGACCGATTTTCTCGAAACTTGGCAGACATCACTCTAGGCTTAGTTCAGTACGATATGCCAAATTTCGTGCAAATCGAAAGATATATAGGGACTTTGGGGCACCATTTACATGAAATCGGACGAAACTATATATTGGAGCTATATCTAAATCTGGACCGATTTCCACGAAACTTGGCAGTTATCATTCTAGACCTTATTCATTACGTTGTGTCAAATTTCCTGCAAATCGAAAGATATATAGGGACTTTGGTACACCATTTACCTTAAATCGGACGAAACTATATATGGGAGCTATATCTAAATCTGAACCGATTTCCACGAAACTTGGCAGATATCATTCTAGACCTTATTCATTACGTTGTGTCAAATTTCCTGCAAATCGAAAGATATTTAGGGACTTTGGTGCACCATTTACCTTAAATCGGACAAAAATATATATGGGAGGTATATCTAAATCTGAACCGATTTACAGGTAACTTAACACACATCATTCTAGACCTAATTCCTTACGCTATGCCAAATGTCGTGCAAATCGAAAGATATATAGGGACTTTGGTACACCATTTACCTTAAATCGGACGAAACTATATATGGGAGCTATATCTAAATCTGAACCGATTTCCACGAAACTTGGCAGATATCATTCTAGGCTCCATTCAGTACGTTATGCCAAATTTCGTGCAAATCGAAAGATATATAGGGACTTTGGTACACCATTTACCTTAAATCGGACGAAACTATATATGGGAGCTATATCTAAATCTGAACCGATTTCCACGAAACTTGGCAGATATCATTCTAGACCTAATTCATTACGATGTGTCATGTTTCGTGCAAATCGAAAGATATTTAGGGACTTTGGTGCCCCATTTACCTTAAATCGGAAGAAAATATATATGGGAGCTATATCTAAATCTGAATCGATTTCCACGAAACTTGGCAGATATCATTCTAGGCTCCATTCAGTACGTTATGCCAAATTTCCTGCAAATCGAAAGATATATAGGGACTTTGGGGCACCATTTACATGAAATCGGACGAAACTATATATGGGAGCTATATCTAAATCTGGACCGATTTTCACGAAACTTGGCAGACATAATTCTAGGCTCAATTCAGTACGTTATGCCAAATTTGGTGCAAATCGAAAGATATTTAGGGACTTTGGTGCACCACTTACCTTAAATCGGACAAAAATATATATGGGAGCTATATCTAAATCTGAACCGATTCCCACGAAACTTGGCAGATATCACTCTAGACCTAATTCAGTAATCTGTGCAAAATTTTGTCTCAATCTGACTAATATTGGCAGTATGATGCTCCATTTATATGAAATCGGACGAATCTATATATGGAAGCCATATATAAATCTGAACCGATTCCAACAAAATTTCGCATACATAAACATGGACCTGATTTAGTGCGCTGTTCAAAAGTTTTTCTCAATCGTACCAATATTGGCAGTATGGTGCTCCATTTACATAAAATCGGAACGATTTTATTGAATTTCAATAGGGTTCGTCCTTGG